AACAAATCACACAGAAAAAAACAACCCCAGTTGTATAGTAAAAATGCACCTATCACCTTAATCTCAGAACAAATCACATAGAGAACCAGTGAATCATTTATATTTCACCAAATAACCAAATTCATATATTCGCGAGAACCAAAACACAAACTAAATCAAAGCCCCAATCACCAAATCATCAGACCAAATCATCAAATAGAAAAAAATTCAATCCTCAAAACAGCAAGAACCAATCAGTCATTTATATCTCATTCTTTAATTCAATAAATTATCATCCAAATTAAACAAAAAATCTAAATCATCAAGTGAATGAAGAAAAGCCCCAATTTCAACTGAAGTTCGGGTGAAGCTATTCATCATCTCCAATGAAAACAATATGTTACCTTTGAGTCGGGAGTCGGGAGTCGAGAGCCAAGGAGCGGGGATGTAGGGTAGCGAGAGCCGAGGAGCAGAGAAATTGTGGGTGGCGAGAGTCGAAGAGCAGGTAATTGTTGTGGCGAGATGCGAGATGTTGTGAGAAGCAGGTTGGTTGAGAGATGATGAATTGAGTTCAAAACTGTTCAGATTTTCGTTTTTCTTGTTTTGGTGTTAGTCTATATTTTAGGTTGCTGTGGGAGTTTTTTCATGTGTTTTTTTAGAGGTTCTATGGAGTTTTTTTTAGATGCTACATCCTGGTAAGTTGTAAACTCAGTGGGATGTTATTTTGGTTGTTCTGTACTCTTTTGGCTGTTTGTTAATAATATTTGGGGTTTTTGAATCGACTATAGTATAATTGACTTCGATTATATTAGTTTCACTTTGATTATACCATATTTGACCCTATTATACTAGATCTGACGCGATTATAGTATAATTAACTTCGATTATACATTTTTGACTATGATTATGCTAGAATTGACTTCGATTATACTAGTTTTGACTCGATTATAGTATCATTGACTTCGAATATAAAGATTTGACTATAATCTGCAATCATAAGTTGTTGACTTTTATGGAAACATATGAAATTCTTAACTCTTCTAAACTGATACTATCTAATCCAATGTGTAGGTATATTGATTAAATTATGAACAATCGCAACCACATAGATGTAAATTGGTTGTTCTATTCGAATTGATTTAACTATATTTTCCCACTATTTTTGTATTAGATCTTTTAATTCTTTTATTATCTTTTTTATTTTGTCTAATTTTCCGAATGTTTCAAATTGAGTCTTTTTATTATTTCTATAAGTGTTCATGTTTGTTCTTGACATTTTTGGTGGACTGTTCATAATTTTATCTTTTTATTTTTTCTTATATGCCCATAATAGCATTTTCGTATATTGTTATTTTATGCAATTGTTACCCGACATGAAACTTTTATATGCCAAAGACACTATTCCAACGATATGAAATAGAGAACACTACTCATGCGCTTGAATTGCTATAAAATAAAATGTTAACCCGACATGAAACTAAGACGGCCCAAAAATAAGTACAAACACGCATTGTCATTTTGAAGATAAAAGTACCAACACCGTAGATGAAACAAACGGTTAAACAATTCTAATAAGTTACAATGACTTTGATCCAATGTTCACAGCAAAACTCCAAACACAAACATAAGCAAAATAGTCAAATACAACGACACATCGTAGTCCATATTAAACTATAGTATTAGATCCTAACAAAAGTAGTTCAAATCATCCATTGCACCAGTCATTTCATAATAACTCTGAAAGTTATCAAATCTTTGGGGATGAGCCTGAATATGGCCACAGATCCTTCTTCAAGTCCATTGTTGTCCACAAAGGCTCTCTCATTGTGCCATGTTGCATAAACTTTTTCCGGTCTCCATGAATAATGTTAGCCTCATATCTGGCACCAGAAATAAGTATGATGACTTTATTGTTGTTATTGTAATTCCCTTCGATATGAGTCCTCCAGAAATCCATTGGGATTGGCTGAATAAGAAAAACAACTCGCTCTTTAAAAATAAATTATACACTGTATGTGGATAAACAACAATAATCATAACCAGGATGTATTTGTTAAAAAAAAAAAAATTCAATCCATACTCAATCCACATTCTAACTTAAACTCAACTCCACATCTTCAATATTATCATTATAATTAAATAATATTAATCAATCATTCTATACACATTATCAACTTTAACGTAATATTCATCCACTCAAATAATTTTTAACCATAATTTTAATAAACCTAAATGGCCCCAGAGTGTTTGGCTTAATTTTCGTTCGATTCAAAACTTTATTTCAACATGATTTTTGCTCTATTAGTGCTTTTGAAACTCTCTTGTAGGAAATAAACAAGAAGAGTCTGAGGTGGAGAAAGAAGATGATCGAAAAGAATAGTGTCTTAAAGAAGAGGATCGTAAGCTGCTGAAAGACGAAGATGGAGGAGTTGATGTTGCTTGGATTTTTGATTCGATTTTTTCGAAACAACAATTTAGTTATTTATTTTAATTTATTTTCTTTGGTATCTCGATTAGTTGTTGTGCTTTGGCTTTCTTCTATAATGCAGCTGACGAGTTCTCCTTCTTTACAATTTGTTTGTAGTATATATAATTTTACTGGTTTTATATGTTGTACAGGACCTTGTACCCAATTGAACTTGAATCCACACATTATTTAAATCAGTTCTTTTTCATGAAAGATATTCAAAACTAACCACACACAATACTAATAAAATTTATCAGCTAACTCCAGCAAGCAATGGCAGAGCTCTTGAGGCCTCGTAAGCATGACCATATGGCCAGCCTCGGTTATGGACACGACGACATCTGGCGGGTTCTCCTCGATGTTGTGCCTCTGAAACTCCACACTCGAGGCATCATCTTCCTCGCATATTACATAACAACGTTTGACTTTACCGTACCTCTCTTGGGACAGCAAACCTGGCTTGCTCAAATCCTTCACGAAGAAGAAATTCGGTCTCAACAGCATCTTCGCTAATTCCACATCCTGAAAATTTCGAACATTTTTTTTTTTTTTTTAAAAAAAAAGTAACTGATTTGTGAAATAGAAACGAAACAGGAAGGAGGCATGCAAAATAAACCTCTAATTGGCAGTGGCTATAAACCGTGTCTGCCATGTCATTCAAGCGTAAGGCTGCCGAAATTGGCAACTCTCCAAATTCCGGATCAAATGCAAACTCGCAATCCATAAACGATGACTTGTCCGAGGTCCTCTTCACAAACTGTAATCAAGTTAACAAGCCGACGAACAACTTATCAGAATCAAGCCATAATCAAGCTAAGAAAGATTTTTAAAAAAAGCCAAAGTTGTCGCTCATATCACAACCTTTTTCGAAATTGCAATTTAATTATGACTTTTTCACTTTTACAAATTACACAACAGTTTGTTACAAATAGGTGCGCCGATTTGTAGAAAGCAGCCCCAGGAGAGAGTGTTAGCGCGGGCTCCGTGCAAATTATATCACGACAAACTTTAGTTTATTCTTCAACTACATCAGCTTTTCTAGGGCTGGTGCCTGGTCAGAACCCATGCACTCGATTTGCCAAATAACTGAAGAATGTGTGATATAAATAATTTGCACGGATTCTGCAAATCGACGCACGATTTGCAACAAACTAAACATTGTGGTGTAATTTGCAATTTCGAAAAAGCTCGCGACATGGGGGCAATTTTGTCAAAATAATAACACGGACCTTCCGGACGAAAGCGCCAGGCGGGTCCGTGCAATTAGGCATGTAAGCCGTGACGAACACGGCCAACGATACTTTCCCGGGGAAAGTCTCGGCTGCTACAGAAATCGAGATGCCGCCGTAACTATGGCCCACCAAAACGACCCGCTCGTCATCCGGGAAAGCCGAGAGAAAGTCCATCAGCGGCCGAGCGTAGTCGGAAAAGGAGGAAATCTGGTGGAGCTGGCTCGGGTGGACCCCACAGCCGGCTAGGTCGAGGGCGGTGACCCTGTGCCGGTTGTCCTGCTTCAGCAGGCTCACGAGCTTGTACCAACACCAGGCGCCATGGCCGAAACCGTGCACCAGCACGAATTGCTTCTTGTCATTACTATTAGTTTCATTCATTTTTTTGTTTTTGTTTTTGTTTTTTTTTTTTTTTTCTTTTTTAGCTATGTAGTTACTTTGAGATGTGAATTTTGTGATATTCGCAAGTGTATGAGTTTTTTAGTGTTCAGCTCTGTTTTGACGTGTAGTAATTGTGTGGAGGATTTTATCAGAAAAAATCTGTAAAATATCATCTCACATCGGTACAAAAATGGCATGAATGTCAAGGTCAATAAGTTTCATATTCATCATTGAAGTTCATCGTGTGATCACAAATGTAAGACTTTGTGGTAACCAATGTAGAGGAATAATTTGACCATTTATTGAGAATTTTCAATAATTGGGGCTTCGGAAGTAGGGCTGCAAACGAACCGACTCACGAGCGCTCGAGTCAAAGCTCGACTTGAGCTCGAGTTTGACCGAATTCGAGTCGAGCAAAAACTCGAGCTCAAGCCCATATTTTTCCTTGTCGAGCGGCTCGAGATACACGTTAAATCAAGTTCGAGCCTCAAAAATTGAGCTCGACTGAGCAGCTAAAAAAAAAAACTCAATCCTGCTCTTCAAGCAAGCAAGTGCACTGAAAAGCTGCTATCATGAATTGCAATAATGCCGTGCAAACAAAATAAAGAGAAGAAGGCCAATGCTCGACTCGGCTAGTTTGCATATTCGGAAGGGAAGGGAACGAAAAGGGAGGGAAGGAAGAAGTAATTATATCAATCTTTTCTTGTTTGGTTCCAATGCTGTGATGGGAAACCAAGAAAATTTTGAAATTACAAAAAAATGGGAATTTTGGAGATGCAAAAGAATAAATCTCTTTCATAAATATTTACAACATAAATATATTCAACTTTTGTTGTAAATTTAAAAGAATTTTAAAAAAAATAATAATAACTCGGGTCGACCGTGTCAAGGCCTAGACCTTTGTTAACCTTATCAATTCGACCAAAATCTGGGACGACACGAACATACATCTTAAATGAACATCTTAGATCAAACATATATTACAAGAAATAAGTTGAATATGTACATGGATGAATGTTCTTTTTCATAATTTAACCAGTTCATATGCACAGGCTAATTGAACTCCTCAAGATGAAGCTGAAATTCAAATATAAGTTGCTTATGATTAGTCAGCTAAGCATAGTAGGGTGCCCAGTTTGGAGCATCCTCTTGAACATGTCCATCCCGAATGCTGAATCTGATGAACTGAAAAAAAAAAAAAAAAGAAAGAAAAAAAGACATCAAACAAAGGCACAACAATATCATTCTTTCGTAATGCCCAAATGGATCGATCAATGGATCAAAACTTGGCAGATATTTGCAGGTAGGGTCCCCCTCCTTATCTGAATGCCACAACTCAGTCAGATTCTGAAATAAGGAAGATATGCAGTCTTTCTAAAATCTTGGACCAATGCAGTTAAGTGCACCAAATAATAGCTTCACGAGTTGTTTCAAATAAAGATGTATGATTTATAAATCGAAGAAATTTATAAAAACTAAATATACATGTGTGATTTTGTTGACTAGATACATGTATATTCCATCATCATGTAAAAGAAATAATGCCAAAACACATTTGCAATTTTGCATCAACGAATCTTGAAATGTAGAAGGAATTTACGAAATAAAATGCTAAAAACACATTTGCACCAATAAATCTTTGCAAAAACTTAGAATATTTAGAAGATACCTCGATATAGTAATTTCATAAGGAAACGAGACACCTTCGAGATTCGGTATTGGAGGAACATGATCCTTCTTCTCGTTCACAAATCTGATTATCTGAAAGAGAACATCACGGAGGGAAGATTCTAGAGCCCCACGTCTAGCACTCCTTGCCTCAGCTGCAGTATCTGAAAGATAAAATACAAAGAGAACAATGTCAAATAGTACCTATGTTAAACAAATCATGAATCAAACAATTTAATAGAAATGGGCTAACATTACCTCCTCCAGGAACAATCACCATCTTTGAAGAATACGACTTTCCATAATGACCCTTTGGATGTACCACATTCAAATTTATGTACCACTGTTCCCAGTAGAGGCGCTCGACTTTATTAGTGAACCAAGTCGCCTGTTTGTTCTTTATCTCGTAGAAGGATAGGCATATCTGCATCACTACGCTGTATCAGACATGGAGTTATAAATGAAACAAAAATCCAGCGACGGCTAGAAGTTTGTCGAAAAGTTATTAAACACAGATAAAAGGGTTTAGCAAATCATGGACCTGGTTTTTTTTGTTCGGGTGCTTCTCCACCCTGTCAATAAATTGATCAATCTTCTCATCTATTTTGCGATCAAGTTCCAAATCACCACATTGTACCTGCACAAAAAGACATCAGACTGAGGTGACAGGTAGCACAAACAATTAAAATAACATCTCACGCACACACAGATATGAGACAGCATTTTGCCTCAAGTTTTGGAGACAAAATCATCATAAAAATGAAATCTTGAAACTCTCAAGATTCTGATTTTATGTATTCAAGTACCAACGAACACATCAAAAGCAGCTTCGAAACCACCACAGAGCCTTATTATACTTAGAAATGCCGGTTTTTCGGCATAAAATGAACTTCAACGCATCAAGCGAGAAAAATAAAAATAAAAAAATCAACAAGGAACTTAAGCATATCAAGATAATCTCAGGGAAAATACAATCTGCAAGCACTTTATTAAACTGGTAAAGCACTTACATATGTAATCTCAAAGAGCTCCAGATCAATATCTTTCGGGCGCACTAGCCCTAGAGCCCTGTGGAACAAAATTGTGTGTAGAATGCCTGAAAGCAACCCCTTCACCATATTAGAGAATTATGTGAATTCCCATAAAAGGGGGGAAATTCAATATGGGCTCTGTTTATCTCAGAGATACTGATCACGATGCATAACTTAAAACCTAAAAAATCCGATTCAGAGGTAAACAACCAATCGCTGAAGCTAATAATCAATGGCGTAACCTCACTTCAATTGTTCGACCAATTAGTCACCAGCAAAATCAAAATCGAGGAACAAACAATTCACCATACAAATAATTAAAAATGAGGAACTCGAAACCAACTTACATCGAAGAACTTCGCGTATCTCAAAGTGCTCAACATCCTAATACAGTGAACAAAAATCAGATTTTTCCACTTCTAATTCACCATACGGGCATATAAAACGCATAAGAGATTGAAGTTTGTATCTCGAGAAAAGGGACTCACGAGTTCTTTGAGCTGGCAAACTTCGCAGTTCATGGCGATTGCTGACGGCGCAAAAATCGGAAACGGGGATTTAATCGGCGAAAACCAGAGAGGAAGATGATTCCTTAGAAATAAAGGTCGATTCAGGTATTTTTTAAAACTTTCCTAAACGGGTCTGAACTCTGGAGGTACAACAAGGTTACAAATCTTTTATTTGTGGAGTTTTTTTTTTTT